AGGACACATATAAACGATATCTAGGTTTACGAGGTAAAGCAGATATGAAGATCAAATAAGCAAATATAATAAAAAACATGGGATAACGCGATAAAGATTAGCTTTAAGGACATTTAATTCAAAATAAATTATAGATGAGTAGTAATATAAATATAAATACAAATTTCTAAGAAATAAAATGAAACCCGAAGCAACTATTTACTTGAATAAATCTCGCTTGACCTGCAAATTTTCTACGATTGCTTCGATCACCAAATCTGAGCCTACGACAGCGGATTTAGGGTCAGTCGAGACGGTAACATTAGATAAAATATCTGAAACAAATTTTTTTGAAGCAGGCAAATCATCTGAAAACTTTTTTTTTGCTACACGCTTTAGACTATTTTCAAGAGACCCAAGTGATTTCTGCAACAGGTTGTCTTGTCTATCAACCAGCCGAACCGAATATCCATTTTGTGCAGATATTTGCGTTATGCCTGCGCCCATGAGACCAGCACCGATCACGGTAATTGTTTTGATGTTTCTTGAACCAGTGGAGAAGTTTGTAAATACATTGCGGCGGAGTAGCGAAGTTAACATGTTAGCAGCTTTCTAAAGTACGCGCAGCAAGTTATAAACGTTCGGCAGTGCAACTTGCACATGTATACAAAAAACGTGTACTAAAAGTATATCAACTTAAGTCAAATTATTAATATATGTAATAAAAACGCTGTATATTTTTTCTATGATCATTCTATTTTCATTTGTGGTAATACATTATCATCGTTTTTGTATCAGTCAAATAGGCTTCAAAAGTATCAGTACATTTTAAATAAGCATTCTACTCAGATCAGATCGCCTATAGTGATGCAGTGATTTATAGCCTGAGTTGCTACTACGAAATAAGTAGAATATTCACAATTCCGCTGAATTTCCTAAGCTTTGCCATCTAAAGGTATTTATTAGTCGAGGTTACTACTCCATACACCTATATATACATGGCCGATATGTCCATAATATGAATCCAAAATTTGTCTCGTTGACATTTGCTTCACATAAATAGCAGAAACAGCGGCAGTATACTCATGTACAGATCCGGCTTGCTTCAAAAGTCGCATATGTTCTGCTATCAATTAGCACCAAGAGATCAGTAGGTGATCAGTAACATTTCTGTTTAAAGTAGTTAAGTCGATTTAAAAACCCGTTAAGGAGAGTGAGGATATATAGGTAAGATAAACACTGCAGTTTTAACTAAATTATAAATCATTCTTGGGAGTACGCCTTTATGAAATCAAATGGCATTATGAGCCTTATTCACTGCATTGTAAGAAATTTAGCAAGCAGTCCCACGTCCCTTTAAGAGATCTACGTTGACTTGGGTACTTTACTTATGCGTTTTCATAGGCTAAATTGTCAAGAAGTATTTTTAAAATTACTTCATAATATGTAACAATATTCGATTATTTGTATACTTGCTATTAATCATACAGCCTTAGCTCTTGTCATTTTAGATTGCCTTAGGCAATAAAGGTCCGATTCTTAAATCGTATTACAATGATAAAAGTAGGCCTCAAATTTCCATTGCATTTCAATTATCCCTACATCCAAAAGGATATCAGCAAACAGGATTGACTAAATTTTATACTTCGCCTGATTTTTATCAGCATCCCTGACAAGAATCAAACTCGGATAGTGCAGCGGGCACACAACGCTATTCTGGCGCGGGTACTTTTAAATCACAGAGCCGTTGTAACTTAGTTGTAAATTGCCCAATGTATGCGCTGCATTACCCCAATTCGATTGATTTGGGAATATAGATGAGGTCCAGACAAATTCAAAGTTGTAATCTGCTCTGGATGAAAAAACCTTTTGGAAGCTAAGGCTAAATAAAATTCAATACTTAGTCAGGCTTACACACTTAATTTTATAGGAAATTTACTGTCAGGCTTTCGTCGACTTATGTGACCAAGAGTAACCACAAATCTATTCTTACTTCCGAAAGCTTTTAATTATTTTTCAAATTAAGTTTGAATCTGATTGATTATACACATAAATAAAACCAAAATTAAAGAAAAAGTATTACTGGAAAGATATTATGTGTAATGTAGGGACAACCATCTACACTAAAATAGTCATCTGAATTTCAGTAAACTTTTAGTCTTTAACATTATCCAGAACGATGCCTTATTTTTATGTAGTCGGAGTTCATCGAAATTAAATATTAAATATTCCAGGCACAACCAAATAAAATATAACCAAATGAAACGGCTTAAACAATGAAGATCGTTAGATTAAAATAATGGGCATTATTCTGGTCGATCATGCCAATGTTATAAAAGATCTAGAGAACGCATTAAACTCTGAGAGCGTTAGAACAGGCTTCCTTTTTATATTATTAACACTCGTGGAAGAAATCATTTCAATCAACAGAACTAGAACTACTTTGGCCGGACTGTTCAGATTGCCTAAAGCTTCTAAAATTTATTTATGAAAAGGCTTTTTTATTAAAGCTATAACCATTTTTCCTTCCAAAAAACTTGCTAATGGATGATGAAATTTGCAGAAGAATCTAGAAATGAGGTAATTTAATATATTGTTAATTTGCGAAACTAATCAGCCATTAATGTGAAATAAAAGTGGTAATCAAATTAGAGTACTCTTCCTTACCTACGAATACTTACTTTTAAGCATTTATGGAAAGTATCGATAAGTAAATAGGACTAGGTATTTTAAAACCAAGCTTAGTGTAAAGTACTAAATGTTTTTGTTCCTATGCTGTGTAAAAAGACTAGTAATAACAATCCCTTATGTACATTAGAAAATTTAAATCACATCTAGGTCACCTAAATTTATATAAGTTGTGAAGTCAGTAAGCATCGACATTCCAGGCTTGACTGTAGTTTTATTCTTAAATATATCTTATAAGTACCCCTAAAGAAGATATTGCCATATTCATCCCTTTAGCTAAACGAACCAAGCTCCACGATATAATAGACATTAATTTAGTGGCAAAGAACACATTTTTTTCCCTCTCCACAGTGTTACTAATGCTGAGGACTAAGTAAAGGTGAACTTGCTGTGTTCTTAGGATATATGTGTTGTGATCACCCTATTTTGTTAAGGGTAATAAGGGAATGGTAGTTGAATTTTTCCACAATAATATGATTAGAGCTGATGTTTCCAATTGCATTTCACATAGCATTGCTTTCCCAAAAGGTGTTCTTATCCAGAGTTAACTGCAGTTTCGATCTCGTATAGGTCTTATCAACACCGCAAGGAGGAGTCGAACCATGATAGTGCAGCATGTAATCTCGACACGTTAACCACTACGCCACATTGCAACCAGTGCCCTTGGGCCATATAACAGATGTGAATTTCAAGGAATGTCAGGCATTTTCCATTTCACGTTTTGTGCTGGGATTGTCGATTAAGTAAACCTATATTTGCTATGGCAATCGCATTTCCTTTTTCGTGAGTAAGTAGGTTTTTGAGACTACCATTAAATACAATATATGAGCAACCCTGTGATCCAACGGCACTCGTGACAATGTGGCGCAACGGATAACGTGTCGAGCTTACACACTGCACTGTCATGGTTCGACTCACGCTTGGGGTGATGATAAGACCTATACGAGGTCGAAATGATAGTCCATTCTGGGTGAAGGCACCTTTTGGAAAATCAAGGCTATGCGAAATTTAATATAAAATATCAGCTCTACACATAACATTGACGGAAATTTCAGCTACCAGTCCTTCATTACCCTAAACGAAATAGAGTGAGCATAACTCGTATATCTGATTTACTGGTAGTCTCGAAAAACTACTCACTTACTTAAGATATGAACGGCCATATGAAATGCTTGGCTAAATTAAATTAAATATAACTTTAATAGAAGCCTTCCGTTTAACACATTATTTGGAGATTTGCCATTAACTCAAATGTATTGGAATAATGAAACCTGGTATTTACACAGCTAATTCACATATCCGGTATTCTTATATTGTAATTCATTCAGAAATAAAAACTTGCACTATTTTATATACATTAGTTGATTCTTTAAGCTCTTGCCTATTCAATATAAGATTAAAGCTAGTTGTGAATAAAAATTAGGTTTCGTAGAATTCCTTAGTAGATTGATGTTAAGGTAACTTAATTTCGTTTTAAGAGGCGTGTGGATGGGTTTTATAAATTGATCTCATCGGAAGCTGTAGAAAGATTAGAAGTGGGTTGACCTCGTTGTCGCAACTAAGTCTTGTTTTCAGGTAGACCATGTAGAACTCACATAGTCCGAAGTTGTCTGCCATAGTAATCGTCATGATTCCCAGCATCTGACCATGGACTTGATACATTCTCAAACGTTTCGCCGGCATCGTAGTCGGCA